AAGATGGGAGCAGATGTCACTGTTCTTCCAGTGCCCCCTGGGGACACTGGGTGCCACTGTTCCTCTCACGCAGTGCAGGGCTGCCTGCAAGGGCACAGCATGGAAAGGGAGTGCTCTGAAACTGGAGAGCAGGGCTCCCAGATCACACAGGGGCAGGAGGCTTCCCCAGACCATAGAATCATAGAATTGTTTGGGTAGAAGGAAACTTAAAGATTATCTAGTTCCAACCCCCACCTGCCATGGGCAGGGACACCTCCCACTAGATCAGGTTGCTCCAAGCCCCATCCAACTTGGCCTTGAACACCTCCAGAGAGGGGGCATCCACAGCTTCTCTGGGCAACCTCTGCCTTGTCAACTTCACAGGAAGGAACTTCTTGTTAATGTTTAACTCAAATCTCCCCTTCTCTGGTTTAAGGCCATTACCCTTCATTCTATTGCTCCACGGCTTTGTAAGATATCTCTCTTCAGCTTTCCTGTAGCCCCTTGAGGAACTGAAAGGCCGCTATAAGGTCTCTCTGAAGCCTTCTCTTCTCCATGTTGAGCAACCCCCAATCCCTCAGCCTGTTTTCACAGGATAGGTGATCCCCCCAGATCGTTTTTGTGGCCCTCCTCTGGACTTGCTCCAAGAGTTCCATGTCCTTCTTGTGTTGTGATGGCCATGAAGAAGTCAGAACGCACACATGGATCACTGCCACCTCCATGCCTGGTAGGCCACATCCTGCTAAGAAAGGCCTCAGAGCAGATGCACAAGCCCAGAGAAGCCATACCCTGCCCATCAGATAATTTCTCACCCAAAGGCCTAGGAATCCAGAGACATCCAAGCAAGGTCACACCTGTGCCTGGGTGTGCCAGCACCACTCCGGGCAAGGAGCAGGGCTGGGCTTCCACCTCGCGCTCGTAAAGTACTGGCTTTTGCTAATGAACTGCCCCAAGTTAAACCTTCCATATGGAGACAATTAGCACACGGAAACCAGCTCCCAGACCAGAGGGAGCTGCTGATCTTCCCTCAGCAAACAGACAAACGAGACTCAACCAGTGGCTCCACAGCCCTGGGTGCCAGCAGGGTGGTGGGGGACACGAGAGCTCCCACCGTGGCCAATGTCCCTGAGCTACCGGCAGGCACCAGTGCTGTACTGCTGAGAGGAGAAATCCCTCCCAGCTGGGAGCACACAGCCTGTCCTGCTCCCATGGCTCTTCCAGGACACCCCCTGCTCCTACACATGCCTACCCAGCAAAAAGAACCCACACTTGCCTTTTTGGCCACATTGTCATTGGACATTCACCTTCAGTCAACAATATCTAAGGTCCCCAAATCCCTCTCAGGGCGACACTTTCTGGGTTGCAGTCTCAGAGGACCTGACTGCAGCCTGTTCTCCATTCCTACACACTCACCTTCATGTTTGGCTGTTTAAGGACATTTTGCCTGCAGAGGTCCACAGCACCACAAGAACCAGCCTGTCCTGCATGACCACCCTGAATCAGGGCCTGCTGCTATCTTCAAGCTACATCTGCTGCAAATGCTCTTCTCCCAGCTGAGACAGTCCTGGCTTTATGCTTCCAAGGCGAGGTTTTGGCAGTGCCCTCCCTCTCAAGGAAATGACTTTTTTCTTTTTTTTTTTTTTTAAACCCAGCATCAGTGAACCAACCCAGCCACTTCCCCAGGAGGTTTCTGGCAGTGGGAAATAAGATGCCCAGGCAGAGAGTGGCCACAGCACAGCCCCTGGGCCATCCCAGATCCTTGGAAAGGAGGTGCCAGAGGCACTTCAAAAAAAGCAGTTTTTCCAGGAGCCACTGCCTGAGATGTTTTGCTGCCTCAATAGCAAATCCTCCCCTGCCAGGTTCTCCCAAAAATCACACAAGCCAAGAAAATGTGATCAGTGGCCAATTCCTGGCTATTAACAGCTCTGCCAGGACTGCAGAATAATCATGAGAAAGTCTTCATATTCTGGAGCACCAAAAGTCGTGCCAGGGCTGGATGGAAATTCTTTCCCTTCAAAACAGCAGTGGAATGGAATCCTGTTTGTACATCAACCAGCTGTTCCGAATGGGTGCTGTGACCCCCTCCCAGGACACACCAGCCTCTCTGGAGACCTGCCTGCACCTCTCCTCCTGCTCCAGCCAACCTGTTTGCATGACCTTGTCTTTCCAGATTTTCAATGATGGGTGTCCCCACAACAGAGTTGCTCTGAATAACAAAAATCCCACTACAGAGCTGCCAACACCCCCAGCCATGCCACCTGAAGGAGGGGCTTGAGCTGCAGGAGAGCACACCCATCAGTCAGAGGTTTAACTCTTGCCACTACGTCAACACACGATTTGATGGCTCTCCTGCAGGTCCCAGACATCCTCAGCCAGACATGCAGCAACCTGAAGGCACTCCCAACCATCTCGGGAGGTACAGGCACATACACCAGGTGACTCTGCACTTCATGCAAAAAAAAAAGCCATGCCAGATTTTGAGAGCACGCCTGGCACGAGTGCCCCTGAATGAGGGATACTGCTCATCATGGGTCATTTGGGAGAAGGCAAGCCATCCTGCAGGGCTCCAGAGGTTCTGATCCGTGCACCACGCCACAGGACTGAGCTCCAGGCTCCTCTTGCAGCACCAGCACCCAGGTGTCCTTCAGCCCGCTGCCTCCAGCAGGCAGACACACGGGTGCCCACTAAGACCAGCAGCACGCAGCCTCCCACACATCCTGACACCCCTGCATTAGCTGCCCTTCCTTAGCCAACACTTCTGCCCCCGGGTTTCAGTTCAAACCCGGGCAGGTATTTCTCGTTGCCCTGGCCTTTCCTCTCCTCTGTTCTTGCAAGGGAGCTTTGGCACCGCACAAGTGTTCCGAGACGACAACCAAATCACCTCCAAAACTGGTACAGCCAAAGAGGCAGCTTTGTGGCTTTCAGCTTC